GAAAAGTCTTTTCACATGTAATAAACATGTATAATTTGAATGCCCTTTCTTTTCTCTTTCAAAATGATCAATTTAAAATGTTATTTTTTGGAAAGTAGGTAAAACTTTAAGGTCAAGGTCTCACTTCGGTTAAAAAATCATAGTGTATTTAGAAAGTTTTGTGGTAATGCACATGTCAAATATGAAAGCACAATCTCTTATTATTCAAAAGTTATGACCAAGGTTAAATTTATTGTGACAGATGCACATACTAACTGTAAATAAGATGGACAGACTGACAGACAAATGAGATTTAATGTCCCCTCCCTTTCCCCAAAATGGGGGACAATAATGCCCTTGCTGTTCTTGAGAAGAAGATTTATGATGGAAAAAATCCCCTGCATATTTCTTAACGCAAATCAATATTGTGTTTTTATGTCATTTTGTTTGTTGTTAAACATCCCTCTCAGGTATTTTTCACTCATATGGAGACACCACCACTTGAAAAATAATGAGGACAAGTTAGATTTGAGGTCAACATTCATTTTAGGAGTTTTCAACCATTAAGGCGTATATAAAGAAATATTAACTCGATCCTTCCCCTCACCCCTTCCCAGACCCCTGTTCAATGTTCATGTATGCAAACTACTACTTGTTTTTACATTTAAAAAAAATGTTTATACAAATAGTTTAATGTGGTCCGTCTCTGAATGATTTTCATTCCTAATTCTAGGAAGATAGGTTGACACAAAATCATGAATAAAATGTCAAGTAATCTTATCATTGATGCACTTTTATTCAATTTAATGCAGTCATATTGTGAACATTTCAGCTCATTAGGAAAGTGGGGATGACCTCTAGGGGTTCATAACCTTTATACCATTAAATTTACATAACATACTAACACAAGAAACAAAATTATATATAGTGAAATGGAAAAAGTTTCCTACTATTTAGGAGTCACATGATCATTTTACATTACAGGGACAGGGAAGTGGATTGGGAGATCCCCCCCTCAACACCCCCCCGTAGATTTGATTTAGCGCATTTCCCGCCCTTGGAATTTGCAGGACTATAATATATACTGGAGGAAATAAAAATGACTTTGGATGCCCTAAGTGTCCCTCCACCCTAGAAAAGAGACCCAACCATAACTTCTTTTTTTTTTTTTGCTTCTCGGGAAATTCTGGTCTAGCCTGGTCCCCTCTCTCATCCTTGCCAAGGCAGGAGAGCCAGGTGGATTCCATTGTACTCCACCTGGCCCTAGTGACGCGGAGTATATAAAGCAAAACAGGGACAGGGAACCAGGCTAATTCTGGCCCCCCCCCCCTCCCCCCCCCCCTCCCTCCCAGAAAAAAATTCTGATCTTGTAACTGAATGTAACGTTGATAACGGGGGATAACTCTTCAGATTGTGAAATTCGTCTATTGTAAGTTTAAAGGATCAAAGGTCATCCGATGCTGAACCTAACCGTTTGCATTTCAGACTATTTTACCCAAATCTATACCAAAACTTGTACTTACCGATTGTCATTATTTAGGCACTGTTATCTTCATGAAATATAATCCAGTTAAAACACAAAATAAAATAATTCCTACTGACATATATGCAATGATGCACACTAGTAGCCTACTGCACGTGCAGTGAAATCTAAAATGATAATGCCAGTGGTAAAACTAGTACTTAAGTTGGGTACGTGACGCAAGCCCAGTGTGATGCAGGTGTTCAGATACATGTATAGTGCAAGAACAAATTGAAAATTATCATTTACAAAACATGTTTTATTTTAACTTTGCCATCTAGGCCTATTTCCAAAAACAGGCAAATAAGGTGTGTTTGTGTGTGTGTGTTGATGGGAGAGGGGTCGGGGTTGACTAAATTGATTGTGTATATGGCAGCTTTCAAGAAGTTTCTGCCTAATCAAATATAAATAAACTTTGCACATTTTGAAAAATTCATCAAAAACGCTTTACACTAATTTGAATAATATTATTTGTTGTTAATCTATATGAGAAAATATATTTAAAAGTTCCAATTATGTGCCACCCCCCCCCCCCTTATCAAACCTAATTTACATCATTAATTTAATTCTGTTGTCTAATTTCCGACTGGTAATGAATAAAGAATATGAAATACCTATAAGATGGAGGCCCATGGGTAACATGGTCACTAGCTGCAGATCTGTATAGCGTTATGGTTTTATATATTAGTCTTTGACCATAAAGCTACAGATCCTGTAATGCAAAAAAGGTGCAATTTACGGTGCAATATTTTTTTGCGCACTTCTGGGGAGAATTTTTTCACTTTCCAGCATCGGTCAATTTACTACCTTTCACCCCCTAATTCTAGGCACATTATTTAACTAATCTGTATATTTTATCCATCTCCAAACGTTTTATATTCGTCTCTACACGAGATAAACTCGCTTGATTAAAATTATTTGTTAGATTGCATAAAATTCAAATCAAGCGGGTTTATTGCCTGTAGAGATGACTATAAATGGCTGAGAGGTGGACAAAATATACATTTTGACTACAGAATGTGTCTAAAATTAGGGAATGAAAGGTAATTGATTGACCAATGCTAGAAAATGGAGAAATTCTGCCCAAAAGTGCGCAAAAAAATATTGCGCCGTAAATTGCACCTTTTTTGCATATGGGGATCTGTAGCGTTATGGTCAAAGACAAATATATAAAACCATAACGCTGCAGATCTGCAGCTACATGGTCACCTGAGCATATTATGCTCAATTTGAAGAATACATGTATTATGTAAATTATTGAATTATATTGACTTTTTCCGTGGTAAAGCCCAATATGAAGAAGTGTGCATTTAGAGGCAAACACCTTAGTGCGGGTATTACTGTCTCATGACAGCATCTAGTTATTTTTATTTTCCAACCTAGACAATAATGACATATATTCATTGATTACACCTAGTGTTTTTGTTCTTCTCATAAAGGGTCATTACTTAACCTGGCTACAGGGTCATAAAACTTAAATGAGCTCACATTTCAACTAAGTCTCACCTTTCCATTATGAATTCCCTTGTAAGAGTGAGACTGAGATAAAAGGTGAGCTTGTCTCAGTTTTATGGCCATGTCTTGTGAGAATTAGAATCTCACATGCTCATGTTTGTACATGTTCTGTATATCACTGATTAAAGTTCTATTATCAGGATAAAATATTAATCCTTTAGAGATAAAAAGAACTGCATGTTCTCACAAGGAAAAAAAGTTTAAATAATTTTACCATTGACCAATGAATATTAAATTTTTGCCGTTTTAATAGATTTTGATGGCTACTGATCTGCTGTTTGCCTTTCTGAAGAGGGAATTTTACCTCCTGAATGGAGACAAGCACAAGCTTTCTGATGGGACAGATGCCCAGATCATCTTAGACTCATAAACCAAGAATTCAAATAACAGAACAGACTAGTGCAATTTCTTTCTATTGTGTTTGTATATGTTTTTGAAACTCATTTCTCTCTTTTTTTGAAGCTTGTACACAATAGAGACAATTTTTGTTCTACATATTTTTATACAAATATAAGTTATGCTGTTAAAACATCGACATGTCTATGAATCTTACAAATAAAAATGTATAAATAAGAATACATGTATGTTATGTTTGTCACAACTTTTTTCATAAATAAATATTACTCTCCAGAAAGTTTGCAACACAAAACAAAACAAAAAGAACGGTAAAAAGAGTCAAAGGAACTGAATAGAAATATGGTTTTTCTAGCTAAATATTAGCCAGCATTTTCATCAGGACAAACTTTTTTATTTCTTTCACTGATATCAGTGTCACATTTTCTTTTTGCAGACTGAGACATATTAGAGTTCTTCCCCTTGTCACAGTTTTCCTGATTTCCATTGTCAATGTTGATCAAGTTTTTATCAATTTTAAGCCCCAGCCACTGAACTCGACATTTTTCTAACTGTTCTGAGGGCTCTTCTACACGGCCGTCAACAATATCCAGCACTGTGGTTGCCACGGCAGCAGAGGCCTGCTCTGCCAGCTGTTTGGACTTCTCCCAGTAAGGGGTCGTGAACTCATTGTTGTTCAGATGAAGCACACAGTTAAAGTTCCTATCCACAGCTCTCTCAGTCTGGAAAAAAAATTAATTAGAAAAACATGAACATAGTGAGTAATCTAGTGAGAAATATCTTTCTAGTGAATCAGACATTACATCAATGAGAGGGGACTGAACACATTTTTCTGAATGTTTGTGGAATACTTACAGTAATATAGACTGGCTTGTTGATATTTTTAGATTTGGTCCACTCAAACAGTTTAAGTTTGGGGCTTATTTTGATGGAGAAGTCTTTCCTAAAGAAAAAAGAAAATTTTTAAATGTAGAATGTGTGCACGTACACGTACCATTGTTTTTGCAAGTCGGAAAATGCTCTTGTTTAGTCTTGAAAGTTAACAGCTATTTGTCATTAAGTTCTAGACATCTGGGTCTTGTTGTCATTAAGCAAATGAAATAACCAACATTTTTAATTACTTAATTGCAAAACGTAAGCATATACACCTGCGATTCAACTACAAAAGAAGTTTATAATTCAATGTTTAAAAAAGAAAAATTTTGGAGAAACAAGAGGCCCAGGGGCCACATCGCTCACCTGAGCAATTGGCTAGGAAAAAGTACATATCACATCAGAACTGAAAGTTTACTGGGGGGGCTTGAATTTTAACCCCCCAGGGGGTCACAATTTGAACAAACTAGAATCTACACTACCTGAGGATGATTCCCTATAAATATCACTAAGCATGGCTTTGAAGTACTTGAAAAGAAGATTTTAAATGGTGTTTTAAAGATTCCTATGTAAAACTTTTATCGGCCATTTGGCCCCACCCTACCCCCGGGGGTCATAATTTGAACAAATTTGAATCTACACTACCTGGGGATGATTCCACAGGAGTTTCATCTTTCCTGTCTCGATGGTTCTTGAGAAGAAAATTTTTCCTATATATTCCTATGTAAAAATTTGATCGGCCATTTCAGCCTTATCCTACCCCAGGGGTCATGATTTGAATAAACCTGAATTTACACTATCTGAGGATGATTCCACATGAGTTTCATCTTTCCTGGCCCAGTGGTTCTTGAGAAGAAGATTTTTAAAGATTTTTCCTATATATTCCTATGTAAAAATTTGATCGGCCATTTTGGCCCCACCCTACCCCCGGGGGTCATGATTTGAACAAACATGAATCTATACTACCTGAGGATGATTCCACATGAGTTTCATCTTTCCTGGCCCAGTGGTTCTTGAGAAGAAGATTTTTAAAGATTTTTCCTATATATATTCCTATGTAAAATTTTTCGGCCATTTTGGCCCCACCCTACCCCCAGGGGTCCATGGGCCACAACGCTTGAGAAGAAGATTTTTTAAAAATGCCATTATTTTTTTCTCTAATTCATGATTATCTCCCCTTGGAAAAGGGTGTGGCCCTTCATTTGAAAAAAACTTGAATCCCCTTTACCCCAGGATACTTTGTAGCAAGTTTGGCTGAAATTGGCCCAGTGGTTCTTGAGAACGCTCACCTGAACCACCTCGGCCCAATTGTTCTTCAGAGGATGAAACAAAGGCACTTTTCCCCCATGAAATATGTTTTCCAAGGGTAACTTATAGACTAGATTTGTGGCCTCTTTAGTAAATTAAATCCATATAAGAGGGGAATGTTTTAATTCCAAATGAACCATCTGTTTACTTAATTGCATTTAAGTGCAGAGGCTTTTAACACGCTATTGTTTAAATATGTTCTCATTTCTCAAGACTGTCACAGGTAATGATTGTATATAATTATATTCATTTTTTATGCTTACATCAATAAAAAAAAAATTGCAGTTTTAAGGCTGTATTTAAAATTTTATTTGATTTCAAGAATTATAACAAATGTTTTGTATTATTAGAAGTAAAATGTTACACATGCATGTATATTAGTACAGATTAAAAATTGAATTTTGATACATTTTGAGTACAGTGTATATAATTTGAAATTTGACACTTAAACTTTGTGAAGAATCTATCTTTATGAAGGAATATGCCTTACTAGTGACAATTCAAGAGGATATCTCGATATATAATTATACTTGATTTAGATAACATTTATAAAACTTGAGAATGAATGTTTAATGAAAAATAAAACAGCATCAAAAATTTTAACAATACAGTCATAATATAAATATTTCTTAAATATGTTGTTTACATGAAGAAAATAATCACCACTCAAAATAAATAATCTTTTCCAATGAAAATCGAAAAAAGGAAAGATTATGTGAGTGAATTAGAAAGGAAAAAAAAACATTTTAATATCACAGACCAAAATTTCTAACCTCAGATTCATGCAATATTGTTGGATAATGAAAAGAGAACTTTTTTTTCTCTATTGGAATGAATATTTGTAATTCAAATGATATATCATGTTATATAATATTTTGATTGTACAGTGTATTTTTCTTCAATATATTTCTTAAAGAGGTAGGTTTACCTCCCTTTACGGGCTGGCCATTGACCCCCTCTTTCCATACTTACCTGTAAATGACACTTATTATAGGCTTTGAAGTTCATATAATGGCAGTCACATTTTACTTCATAATCATAAAATTCCACACAATCCATGATAGAATATACAGAACTTTTTAATAAACTCATTAGAATATATACTGAATCTGAGGTTTCACAAATAATTATTATATCTGCTGTGTTGATGACTACTACAAGCATTGTAATTCATTTACACAGGTTATTTTAAAGAAGCAATTTTTTTTCCAAAACAAAAAATAACTATACAAAAAATATGAAATTAAAGTATAATATCAGTCTTAGATAGTTTATATTTCAGTTTTATGATATAAATAATTTTTAAAAAGTTGACTAGCATTATGACATGAATAAACATTTAAACACATCTGAGCTTAAGTTAAAAGTCCATAAATGAAGAGATCCTGACTTCTAAAATCACAGAAGCCATATGTCTGAGAAATGTCAAAATCACATGGCTATTATATAGTGTTACAGCTAGCTTATAGCAATGTCCGAACCACAGCTAGCTTATAGCAGTGTCAAAATTACAGCCAATGGCACAGTCCAAATGATGTCACTACCACGAGTCAAAACTGTGCAAATTTAAATTCCAGTAAGAGTCTCCTTCAATGTTACTATTATAATCGTGATGATCCTTGATTGTAATTTCAGTATAAAATCTATACCACACAATTCATTATATATAGTCTTGTTTAAAAGATTGAATATATTAATTAAAGTATACAAATATGATATTATTACATCAAGTGGAATGGACATTTTGCAACAAGAAGTGGATATCAAATTGTTTTATCAACAATTCACATTTCCTATTCTATATGAAAATAAGGCAATAAACTGCTGACTGAAATTTAAGTAAAAATACAGCAATATGTCAAATTTTATCCCACACAAAGAAACACTAACTTTTAAGTTCTAATTTGGGTTACATCTTTTGAAGTCACTAAAAGACAACAAAATATCAGAATAATATACCTCCCAATTAAAAAAAATCCAGATATTCAGCAATACAAATATTACCATTGGAAATATGCAGAAATAAGCTAAGAATTGAAACAGTAAATCTAATTTAAGCAAAGTTTTAACATTTCATTAGAAAAACAAACAAAAACAGAAGTCTCTGACAATACTGAAGCTCTACATACAATAAAGAAAGGTATAGACTATTAATGTAAAAAGTCATTTCATACCAACTTTAAAGGTAAAGGGGAGTGAATATTTTGGAAAATAAAAAAATTCTGCCTTTGGTGGCTATGACATATGCAATTTGTCAAACTGAGAATTATGCATCTAAAGCATAGTCTAGCATAGTCTACTAATGTTACCAAGTGTTATTGAGATGGAGTAGTGTTTTGCATAAAAATATACAATAAGTACTGATGCAAATTAAAGAACAGCCAGATTATTATAAGTGAAATGTTCCATCTAAAATGCATATGTAAAACATTTTGTAAAAATAAAATCTTTAAATTTTCAAATGCTCAACCATTGGTACTGTATTGCAGCCAAATAGGACTAATACACCAATGGGGAAACTATATACAATGTAATTTAAAAAGTAGATTTAAAACAGCTTTAAGAACAGGAAAATGTCATCTTGTGTAAGTCATGTAAAAATGTAATTGGTTGAAGATGATAATAAACTTAACAATCTTAGTGTTGATTAAAAACATTATCATGACTGTGACAAATAAAGCATCAAAATGCGATGGTCATGACAATGCTTAAAATGAAATTGGTACAGTATCAAGACACAAGCACATTTTTGATCACAAGCTATAAATTAGTTTGTATTATAAGCATATGAAATTTCTCAATTTAAAAATGTCCAAACAATATCTCATAGAAATAAATGCTGGACAAAAATG